TTTTGCTTAAAATTCCTTAATTTCTGGTCCTAAGATTTTTAGTTTTGTTCATTTGTTCACTTTGTTTTCTTAGCATTTTGTCTTAAACAAATATTACGCAAGAACACAATTTTACCTAAAAATTACAGCAGCCTAATAGCAGGTAAGCAACAACCACTGAAATACTTACAAGATAAGGCAGGGTATTTATGGTTGTGTTAGACTTCTAACATTTTAACAGCTCAGGGGATATTCAATTTCTGTGTAGATCTCCTAAAGAGAAATGTACCTTCACAGTGTAGGAGATGAGAAAGAAGATGGTAATGCAAGTGAGAACAGCAATTGGATGAATCTGTGGTAATTTTAGTGAAACAGCTGTGCCAATATGCTTGGGGAACAGTTGAACAAGGCACACAGACATACATGCCATGGCAAACCTATAGTCGGTACAGAAATATGAGGGAATATGAAGTATCTGACGCAAAATGGGAAGCCAAGAATGAGAGAACAAGAAATGCGTTGAGTTTGCAAATTAAAAAAATGGTGTTGAAGGATGTTACTAGAAAGACGCTTCCCTTACTACTGCTAAGGGAAGAGCAATATAACAATAAAGTAGTAGGATAGAAGTATGCATCATGCAATGCCAACCTGGTAACAAAAATAAAAAGAAATATTGGGCTCTTGAACTGGGGGAGACCATAAAGTAAATGTGAGAAGATGAGCTGGGTCCAAGGTCAATCTCAGAAACCCACCCAAAACCTCAAAAAAATTTGCAAGACAGCTGAGAGCAGCCTACAAGCTCTGATGTCACTCACACCAGGGCCCCAATTCCAGTCTACTGGTGCTTCAGGACATAATTTGCTCACATTCACTCAGTGGGATGTTCCCTCCTGTCACCAGTTCTTTTGGCCAAAGAAGATTTTTATGAAAGATTACACCGCTGTTTAGTAATAAAGCTTAAAAAGCCACGCTTCTAGAATTCAGATAGATTCTCCCTATAAAAAGCACTGTCTTTTACCCAACTCCAACTTTCATACTTAGATACACATTTGTGTTTTGTTTATAAAACCCCTTTTGTCATATATTTTATTGGAAATTCTCAATAAAATTATGTACTTCAAAGTACAGCTTTACTCTTGTATTTTGAAACAGCATTTGTTTACTGCGTAAGAAAGAAAGGAAGTGGTTTTGTCCCTCACTTACCAAACAACACTGAGATAGAAAGTCCTGTATGGTGCTGTCAATCCAAGGGAGAAGTGAAATTTATGTTAAATGTAGTAATCACATTTCCCTCTAACCAGTAGACTTACTACCAAGGTACATGCCTTGCAGGACCTACACCCTCATTACCACATTTGTTTGGAGGTGTTGGCTGATTGAGCCTGCCCAAACCCTCCTCACACAGGGACTCTGAAATAAGAGTATACAGCGTACTGCTTGGTTCTTTCTGTTAAAGAATACTTCATATTGGCTGAATGGTCTTCAGTGATAAAAAGAGCTTCTTGAGAAAACAAAGATGTCTTTCTTTTTTTAGCTGAGCTCAGCTGTGTTTGTTGGCTTTTTTTCTTCCTATTACTTGAAAAAAATTCTTCAAACACTATTTTTTTCCAAGGAGACATTTCAGTTTGGAATTTTAAAAGTTAATTTTACTCTTCCAAGTTCATTATTGCTTTAGGCTCTTTCTTTGAAGAACATATGCACTTTCACAATCTGCTATCACCTTTGCCTCTAAGGTCCATTTCTCCCAACACCCTGAAGCTCCTGACCTCTTCAGTTGTTGCCTCCATGCAGAAATAGAATGGCCATCCTGTTACCCTTTGTTCAGGGAATGTACCAACCAAGCAGTAAAACTGCACAGACCACTGGATTATCACCAATGAAACAATAGCTACTGAGGCATATCCATCCTGCAGCTTTACTGTTATTCTGGGGCTCTAACAGATCATCTGGTGCATATGTGTATGAGATAAGCAGTTTTTGAAGCCAATTTGCAATCAGTATCCTGATAATGCATCTGGTACAGCTTCTTGCAATGATGGGAGTTTGCAAGTAATCTTTATAGTAACTGCAGATCTCATGTGCCTCACCTGAAACACTGACTCTTTATTGAACCCTGCCCCCTAAAGCAAAATTTGCATCAAGAAGCACTGCCTGTATAGAGTAATTATGTTGGCAACTCCTAACAGGCCAAGCAAGCCCAAATAGAGGCAGAGCTGGGTGCTTTGCCGCTTCTCAGAGGAGTGAGGTTTGTGCTCAGTGCTTCCTATTAACTAAATTTTGTCTCAGTTCATCAGGATTTAGAAATTTCAGGAAGGCTCAGGCTTGCACAAAAATAACTCCTTGCTAATACTAGCATTCAGCCCTAGTTCTGACCTGCACAACCAACTGTGGCAGAGACCCTCCAAGTACTAGATGCAAGTCAAAGAAAAGAGCAAAAAGGGGGAACGACAGAACAAAATACAACATCTCATAGATATAAAAGGGTGTGTTCTTATCTACACATGGCAATGACTCCCATTTTGTGTTTTGTGTACCAAAAGTTGGTACACTCTGTACTTAAAGAGAAGAGATGGGTGTAGTGGGTACTTTTGTGTTCTGATCTACTTGGAATATATTGATTTATAGCAGTGTCATGTTATTTTCTGGCATAGAATAAATTTTCTTTGTAGAGGTTCATATGATGCTGTATTTTAGATTTTTTATGAAAATAAGGGTGATAACACACCAGTGCACTAATTTTTTCAGTGGTAGCAAAGCAGTGCTTGTACAGAATCAAGGAAATTTCAGGTTCTCCCATTGCCCTGCCAGCATGGAGCTGGGGTGGACAGGGAGTTGGGAGGGGACACAGTAAGGACAGCTGACAAAACGGCCAAAGGGATATCCCTGTATTATATGCTGTCATACTCAGCAGTAAAATCTGGGGTAAAGAAAGAAGAGGTAGGGGACATTCAAAAGATGGTGCTTGTCTTCCCAAGAAACTATTAGACATGATGAACCCAACTTTCCTTGGAGTGACTGAACATGTATGCCACTTTACCTACTGAACTGTTTTTATTTCAAATCATGAGTTCTTGAACTTTTACCTTAGTAATTCTTCCCCCTATCCCACTGGGATAGGGAGCAAGTAGCTGTGTGGTACTGAGCTGCCCACTGGGGTTAAACGACAACACGCAGTAACTACAGGCCTACCTCACTGGCCAAGACTTGGTAATGTCCAGTGCTATTCAGGTACCGTATAATAAGGGTACATCTCATAAAAGAACAAATAAGAAGTGTATTCAAACAGTGCTAGAGAAGAGGCAGAAAGTCATAGAATCATAGAATCACAGAATAGCCTGGTTGAAAAGGACCACAATGATCATCTGATTTCAACCCCCTGCTCTGTGCAGGGTCACCAACCAGCAGACCAGGCTGCCCAGAGCCACATCCAGCCTGGCCTTGAATGCCTCCAGGGATGGGGCACCACAGCCTCCTAGGGCAACCTGTTCCAGTGCATCACCACCCTCTGTGTGAAAAACTTCCTCCTAATATCTAACCTAAACATCCCCTGTCTCAGTTTAAAACCATTCCCCCTTGTCCTATCACTATCCACTAAGCCAATATCCTTTTGTAAACCTCTCAATTACACTGTAGGCTTCTTAAGTTTGCATTTTAGCCTATGTTAGTCCAAAAAGAAATTTCACAGAAAGAAAGGAAAAAGGGAAAAGCAAAAAAGAAGAAATGGCAATAGGTCAAAGACTGTAGAAGGAAAGAACTTTCCCCTTCCCAAGCTGTGTGTGACAGCGGACAAGAACAGGTTGGGCTACGTAGCCACCTGGTCTGCCTGGAAACAATGTCAACATAAGAATGTCTTCTTGCTGCACTTGTAATAAAGTTCTGTATTAACAACTTGATAGTGAAATAACAACTTTGTCCCTGGCCATCTTTCTCCTGACATTAACCGTTTCTCATTTCACCTACAGGCACAAGAATAACCCTCCTTCACCAGAGCTCCACACCTGAGACCTTGGCAACACTTTTTCACAAATCTGGCTGGATTTGTGTCAGATTTGTTTCTTAGCCTGTAAAAACTTAGAAAATACAAAAATTGAGACTTCTATATTCCATTTTAGTTGAAAATAAATAAAAGCTGCTATGTATTATTTCATGCATTCTTTACATTGTTACTTTCAGTTCATGTAGTGTATTCAATGATTAATACCTTATCACAGATTCACTCCCCTTCTCTTCCATCATAGACAGGCCATTATACATCTTGCCTTCATTCTACAATGCTTCTGAATAGGAAATAGTACTCTTGCATGATCTCACAAAACCATAGTTGTAAAAAAATCTTACTTATTGAAGAAAATCCGGAGATGTGCATAAGTGCTTTACACTTCTAAATTCTCAACTGCTTCACCTGAACAGGTATGTAGTCTAATGCCTTTTCCCAGAGAACATGTTCACATTAAAAGTAGTCTCTATATTCCCCTGATGTCAGAACATTATTAATGAGATAAAGCAATCCTGCTACATGCTTGACAACAAATTCATAAAGTAATTGGATACTTTATGCTAAGTTGGTAAACTGATTCTGAATGCAGTAAAAACTGTTAAAAAGAAATGAAAAGGAGAACATATTAACTTTTGAATACTACTGATCCTTATGGAAAATAACAAACATTTCTCATATAGCTATTTATTTATTTATTCTTAATACCACCTGTGAACACAAATATTAGCAATGTTGCAATTGGAGATAATATCTTCCGCAACCAGAATGAAGATAATGTCAACAGTCTACTAAGGAAAGACTGGCAGAGGTAATTTTCTTTTCCTGGCCAATCTGAATTGCTGAAAAATGTACACAAACTTTGGGCATAGACATTTCTCTGAAGAACATATTTCACCAAAGCCTTACCTTTGGATTACTCTTCCAGAAGAAACTAATTCCAAACCTTTGCTATTTACAACATTCTCTGCAGATATAGCTGAACTTCAGCTTTTTATTTTTTTTTTTATTTTTATTTTTTTACCTTCTAACAAGAGCCTGATCTCAATATTGCCAACTTTTTGGGACATAATATTTTCATAAAAGCCATTCGAAATTTATCATGACAGAGAGGGTAGAGGAATGGGTTCAAAGAGGAATTGATCCACAAAAGCCAAAAGGTAATTTGATATAGAATTGGATGGACACATTTTCCTTGGCAGGCTCCACGAATAATCATTAGTAAAGTATATGGGGCCCAGCAAATGGCAAAGACACACACAATTACAGCAAGTGACTTTGCAATCTTCTTGTCATGATGCAGTTTTGACCTGGCCCTTGCACAAACAGAAAAATCATTTTCTGGGGTCACAGAGTTGGCTCTGGATGGAGATGAGCTTTCAGTTACAAAAGACTCTTTCTTTGTTCTCATGGAGGAAGAAGCACTGTCCTCCGTTTCTGACAAAAAGGGTCCTCGCCTCAGCAAAAAACAAAACCTCCAGGACACACTGCTGCTCC